TCCACCCTCATGTCACAGGAGGGTCTCATAACTGCAGATTCGTCTGTGACATGTTAATGAAGAATTTGCACTCACTTTGCTGAGCTTGTTAGCCAAGATCCCACAGCTAAAAGCAGCTGTGTGAAATGAGCAACTACTTATTAGTGACAGCACCAAAACCACCCACAGTTTTTGTGTCAGCTGCTGAATAGACACGTGCCACGCCTTCTGTTCTTGACTAACGTCATAGGCAGACAATTCCTATGGCTGTTGTTGATGATACATGTTATGAATAATTACTGACCTTTACCAGAGCAGGAGAATACGTGATTCTAGAGGGGAGACCAAAACAGCCAAGTAGATCATCTATTTCTGATTAAAAGTTTCTAGGAGATAGTACAATATTGCAGAGGAGTCTTCATATCACTGTCTTTAAAAAAAAAAAAAAAACAAAAAAAACAAAAAACCAAAAAAAACCTAGAATCAAATGTCAATGGTTTCACATTTCTGGGATTGTCCCAGGGAACCATCAAGTTGGTGACCTGTAGTTAGGTTTGGCAGACTGAGAATCTCTGAATAAGGATCTTGGTTGAAAGACTGGTTTGCCAGAATGGATTTTGCCTCTGATTTTTAGGTAGTGTTGGAAGCAAAGTGAGATAAGAACTCTTGGAGTTACAGGAGACACTGTGTTAGGTCATGCAAACACAGTATTCTTCCCGAACACCTATTGAGAAGGCTATGGCCCTTGCGTCTTCTCTGAGAGATGAAGGGTTTTACTATATCTCTTTTCTCTCCATCTCCCTCTTCTCCCACACAGTGTAAGGTTCCCTGTTGCCTTAAAGATTAAAGCATCAGGTGAAATGACCAATCACTCATCTGCTAGCCAAAGTTACCAAATCCCACTGTTACCCAGGGTGGATTCTGGGCTGAGAGGATAGACCATGGTTCATGAGTGAAGTATTAAATCATGGGTCTGATATCATAGGACTTTGAGTGTTGGAGACCCAGTTTTAGAATTTATATTTCATTGACACACTTTAGGCCTGATTTTAGGTTTGGAAAAATCATCCTTTAAGTCATTAAATAATTCGTAAAGCTACTTCCCCATGTGGGAAGAGGATGCCCTCCTGGGATGTGTTTACGGATAATGTGCTTTAGGCCTAAAACCTAGTGATGGCCCAGAGAGGGTTGGGGGGATGGATGGAGATTGTTCTTTGATCTTTGCTGGAAACAGGATGCCCAGCAGGCCCCTTCCAAGTCACAGAAAGAGGCTAAACAAGCTTGGCCACTGATCACCTCTCCTTGCCAACACGCTGCTTTGGACTGATTTACCACAGAGGGTCAATACCTCTGTCTGGAACCAGATCTCATTTTCTCAGCCATGAAACCTACAATTTTTCCTATAAAACATTTTACACTCAAGTCACTTTGACTTTTCTGACCAATTCCAAAGGACTTGATAGATTTCTTTTTTCTCTCTGCCCATACGTTCCAAACTGTTCCCACCTACCTATCCTGTATTATATATTGCTTGGTACTAAAAACAGTTATGAACATTTTTTTTCCCTAACTGGATTGTGAAATCTTGGGTTTAATGCCATGCTTTTACGCTTCTCTGTATCTGCCCTAGAGCCTGGCAATGGATATGTCAGTCAAGAGTTCACAATCAATGAATGAACGAATAAATAGTTCTGCCTCTGCCTGTAGCACAATTGTTATAAAATGAGAACCCATCCATATGGAACTTTTGCATCTGATTATTTGGCTATCAATGACTTTATACATGTCTTCATGTTCTCTTTTCATAGTCAGAAAACTATTTAGCAAATCACCAGCCTATTTTAATCATGCTGCAGTAGGGCTTCCTGAAAGTGGTAACTCTTTCCTCTCCCCATCGGCTACCAGGAAGGGAAGTGGTATTCTCCCAGGAGCCAGCAAGGGATGAGAGCCAGAATTAAAGTAAGTAAATTCCCAGAAGACAGAGCGATCCCAGGCTCTTCTTCATATCGCACTCTTAGGAGTTTATGATATTTATTTTTTCCTTCTGAAAGTTGCCCCCTTACAGTTGGTGTTACAAGTACTGTCTTACTGTGTATGTGTCAATGTCCTTACTAGCCCATTCATTCTAGGAAACCCTCTGAACTTGTGATTGGGAGACAGTGCTTAGCAAGTTCATCTATCATAGGACTGATAGCTGAGAGGTGGCCCTTCTTCAAACGTCAGTTACAATTCATGTTTGAGAGACAGTGTTATCAGTGTCTCTTGTGAACAGAAAGAACACCAGGGCAAGTTTATTAAAGAGTGAGCTCTCTGTTGGGGCCCAATATTCCACACTCTGTTCTGGAACATAATCATATTTTGCCATGAGAAATTTTGATAAAAACATGGATTAAGTGCCTAGAGTTGCTTGCTACCAAATGTGGAATAGGCCTTTAAGTTTGCTTAACCTTTACATTTCTGTAACCCAAACACATTTGGGTTAAATACCTCACACACGTAAGGAATATTTTCTTGGAAGAAAGTTCAACAACTTTGGAAACTGGAAACAATCTAGAACTTTCAAAAAGGCAGTAGGTTTTAGAACTGTCTTGAGGATAGATGGCTTTAAGCAGTTAATCACAAATTTGAAAAATTTCACTAAAAATGAAAGGGAAGGATTAATATGCTTCCTTTCAAGGCCATCAAAATTGCATTTATATGGGCTCTAAAACTTGGCACAACAGAACAAAATGCCATTATTTGCATTCACACCAAATGGATAACACAGGGAATATTAAGCTCCTAGTTTTAAGAAGTCAGTGCAAACCACAGGGAGAGAAAACCCATTCTCACCAGGTTTCCTTTAAAACAAAATTTCAGCGGCGTGGTGTGGAAAAATGACAACACTATCTTAATGCAATCAAGCCTAAACTCCTTAGTTCCACTCAAGTTTACTTTAAGCTACACACATTTGTTTAGCGCCTGCTTCCTTTCTCCCCCACAACTCACTTATATCCCTGGGACTGGCACTGGTTTTCCACTAAATGCTTAACAATAGCTGCATGTTTTAAATCCCCGGAGAAGAAACTGTCTTTCATAGGTAGCTGAAGTGCCAGACCCAAAAAAGGCTTCCAAAATACGGCTAAATAGGAAAGGGAGGCACACTGCCACCAGGGGATCACACGCCAAACTCAGGCTGTGGCTGAGAACCTGTTCAGTCCACTTGGAAACAAATGAGCGGGGCAGGGGAGGATGGGGGTTTGGGGAGGTGCAGGGGAATGCAGACCCTCTACTTCTAGACCTTCATTTGCAATCGCTACCTGCTTCCCTCCACCACACAACACAGCTGGGTCCAAGCCCTGTCAGGGAGCCCTGTGACAGCCCTGTGGAGACAGCAAGGGCGCTGCTGGTGGGTGAAGCATTTCCATGTCACTCCACTGCTTTGTATTAAAGTTTAATTACTTTTTATCGGTGACATCCTTTTCTCCTCCATTATGACAAAATCACATTCAGAGGAAATTATGTTTACACAACCATTAATTTTTTCTTTCTTTCTTTCTTTTTTTTTTTGGTACTAGGAATCGAACTGAGGACCCTGTGTTCTGCTAGGCAGGCACTTATGCCACTGGACTATATCCCCAACCCCACAAACATCTATTAAAAGCAAAAATTCTGGGCCCAAGCTATGGGTTAAATTTCATTTAAAAAGAGGATATTAAGTAAATTAGTTGAGCTGATTAAAAGCACCTTCGTCAAAGTAGATTACTATGCCATGAATTACCGAGTTGTTTTTCTTTTTTTTTACAGTCTATAGCTCCCTTAGCAGAGGAGGGATCCCTCCTCCTTCACTTTGGGAGTAGCAAGGGGCCTCCCCCAAAGGGGATGAGTATGGTGCGAAGGCTTTAGGTAGAAAAGGCCTAGGTGTGTGTGTGTGGGGGGCAGCAGAAGGGAAAGGAGGGCGCAGGCAGAGAGGTCAGGGCACCTCATCCGCAGCCCGTCGGGAGCCACCGTCGCCGCAGCCCCGAGCCAGGCGGGCGCTGGAAGCGCGCTCGGGGACGCTCCCGCTCCCGGCCGCCAGAGGGCGCGGCCGGAGCCGGCGCGGCCGAGCCGGGCGGGAGGAGGGGAGCCGCGGAGCAGGGTCAGCAGCGGCGCAGCTCCGCGCGCGTCTCCGGTCCCCGTGCCCAGCCAGGGCGCGCAGTGCCGCCGCCGGGATGCAGCCGTCCACCCGCCGCGGCCGCCGCCTGGCGCTGCCCGCGCTGCTGGCGCTCCTCACCTGCTCCGGGGGTAAGTGGCGAGCGACCCGGCTGGGCGGGCGCAGCCGCCCGCGTCCCGCTCCGCGCCGAGGGAAAGGGGGCTCCGGGTGGCCGGGTCCTGCGGTGCCGGCGCCGCGTCCCGCCGTCCGGTCCCGTCCCCGCCGCGCCGGCCGCAGCGCCCTCTCGCGGCGCCCAGGCGGGACCCGGGCGCGCCCGCCCCTCCGGGTCCAGGGTCCGGGCCGCCGGACTCGCGTCTCCCCGCCTCCTTCCGCCGCGGGCGGGCGGCCGGGCCGGGCGAGCCCAGGCGCCGCGCCCACCCCCACAGGAAGCGGAGGAGCTGGGCGGCGGGAGAAAGTTTGGCCGCGGACGCGCGCAGGGTCCCGCCCCCTGGCGCCCGCCCTCCGCCGCCCGCCCGGCCGACCCGACCCCGACCCCGGCCCCGGGCCCGACCCCGACGGGAGGCGGCCCGGCCCTGTGCGGGCCCGGGAGGCGCGGGCCGAGTGGCCGGGCGCGGGGCACCGCGCGGGGCGTCGGTTCCGGCCGCCTGGGCGGCGCGGGCGTGGCGCGGACCTCGAGCCCGAAGCGCTCGGGGAAATCGAAACAAGCCGTCCGAGCGCAGCGCGGGTCGCCCGCGTCCCTGACGACGTTCCTGGCCCTGCTCCTCGCGAGGGCATGCCCTGCTTCCTCAGGGAACCAGAAGACAAAAGTTGGAAAAAATCCTAGTAATTGACTTTTATGATGAGATCTGTTTCAGCCTGAAAGCTTGGGCGAGGAGTTACTCCTTTTTCAGACTGTGACAGCGATCGGTCCTCTAATCCAGGCTTACCTGACTTTCCATCCTGTGAAAAAGCAATAATTTCAGGCTTAGAAATGGACGTTTAGAAAAAGACGTAGCATTATTGCGAACTGCTTGAGTTAACCCACCAGGCGACTCCCGGTGTGGACAGACAGCTCGCTTTCATTTGGGTTTAAGCTTTAACAGAGACCTTATTTGCTGCTTCTGTATAACCGTAGCATTTCTATAGGTGCTCTGTAAGTGTAGGAAGCTCTAGAGAGATTTATTGGGTAATTAATTGTTCACACGCTTGATTAATTTGGCAACAATGTAAGTAACCATATTAGGGCACCTTGGATCCTGAGGCTTGTGATCGATCAAAGGGAGCAATTGAATTTGACCTGAGATCTTTGGTGGAAAGAAACATTGCTCGGTGGGAAGCGCTGGGAGAACGCTAGGCTGGAGAGAACGGAAATCCACTAGGTGACTGCGGGCTGCATCGCTTGGCTTGTTGCCTGGAAGTTTTGCAACTAACGAAATGGGTGGGTGGTAGCCGAAATTGGCATTCTGTTTATAGCACTGCCCTTAATAGTACTGAACTGGAAATAAGATATTTACATATAATGTGTACAATATAGGCCGAAATGCACATCTGTATTTCTGTGTGTATTTTTTTTATTACCCTTAAGGGAATATTTGCACTGTCCACATTTGATAATGCACTGAAGGACATTAAGTATGAGCTAAAATGTCAATACATTTTTAGAAATGCCTGTTAGCCTTGTGAAGTTGTCAGAGAAGCACAATAAATAAGACATAAAACCCATTAAAAGGTCCCTGTGAGAGATTTGTGCTCTGTGAACTGGCTTTCACGGGTTGGTATAAATAGGAGGCTGTATTCTCCGAGGTCCGGAGTAAACCATGAGTACAACTTAGTGAGCTCATGCTGATGTTAGGCGAGGGGCAGAAAGATGTGCAAAGATGAATTTTGTTGAAACAGGATAATAGTTGAGACATGTAAATAATCTTGATAGTTTATATTAGATTGGATTGATTGTAATTCTTTCACAAGCTATAGCAGATTTATTGAAGAATTTGGAGGAAAATCAACATAGAAAATTTATTTTAGACAAATATGCATATACAGACAAAATTCACTACAACTTCGGTCCTACAGTCTGGCACCAATTCCCAAATCAGATTTATTCAGGCTTTTTGGTCACTGCTTATTAGCTAAATGGCTTTTAGTAGGCTTGAGCGTCAACCTTTTCATATAAAATTGGAAGCGTGAATTAGATAGAATCCCGGGGAGACTTGGTTGCCTCTGATGGTTTTAACATAATTTGATCATAGTACAGATTGCTAACTACCTACTCCATAGCCCATTGTCCCTACTTTCTAACAAAACTTACTGGGATTATATTGGGATTGAGGGATTGGGTGGAGAAAAAGTGATAGTGTCCCTTGCAAATAGGGACACATGTGAAACGTGCAGATAATTGAGGTCAGTTGGGAAAGCTCATTTAAAGTGGCTGATGCAGTTGTGATGCAGACCTTTTTGCCATGTTTCATGCTCCTTCTTATTGCCAATTAATGGATCTGATGCTTGGAGCCATGGAGGCCATTTTGTGGCCAAAAGGTGACCTTGAAGATGGAAACCAGTAGAAGGGATGATAAAGCAGAACGGGTACCAGATGGATGCGGAGCTCCATGCCAGATCTGTCTGTCATCTATTTCTAGCTTGCATTGTGTGAAATTATATAAAGTCAAACTAATCCTCATTGATACCTGTGAAGAAGCTGATGTGAATCAATGGTAAAATAGTAGGTATTAGTGTTTATCTTGCGCATCCCTGTCTCCTCTCTGTAATAGTCAAGATTGTATAGCTTAGCACCTGACAAAATTGGGGGTGATTTTTTTGTTGTTCTGAGCCAAGTTTTTCTCAGTCTCCTTTCATTGCAGAAATTTTAAGACAACCAGAGTCAGGTCTAATTCCACATTGTCTTATGTTTTTTGATTTTTTAAGCTGTCTCTTTATTTCTTAAGCAGAGCATTAGTGGCACAGATTTTACTCTTGTGGGTGGATCCTGTGCTATCCAGGACTCCCACGTTGGCGTAACCTACTTGGTCATGGACTTGACCCTACAGAGTTTGCCTGCAGCCAGCAATCAAGCTCCAGAAGGCGAACGCCTGCTCCAAATGAGGGATAGGATGGGGAGGGAATGTTCTTATCTTTTCCTTGGCTTCCTTGAGAACAAAGTGGTGGGTCCAGTACTGGAACGCATACAAATAACTGCCCTCATGTTATGCATTAAGGGCCAGGGCATTTCTTTGTTTCTTCCTTCCTTCTTTCCTTCCTTTTAGGACCAGGGATGAAACTCACAACATTGCACTTGCCAGGCAGGCCCTGTGTTGCGGAGCTATATCCCTGGCCTTCAGATTTTGCTTTTTATTGGACCCATAATGAAGCAAGCAAGCTAGCCTAATTTGTAGGAATCAAGTTCTGTTTATGGGCAACTGGTAAATGTTCTGTTTTTCTCTTGTAGGACTATGTATAATCCACTTTTTGTCATTCTGCAGATTCCTGCTTAAGAACCATATACAGAAGTCCACTTAAGTTAACCACTTAAGTTAACCCCATTTCCCCGTGACTAATGGAAAAGTTGCTGTGAGTCTCAGAGTTCATCACACCTACCACTGATTGAAAATTTCCCTTACAACTATGATTTCAAAGTTCTGTTCACCAACTACTGTAAAGAAACCCTATTTGATATAAGAGGTTAAATAGTGTTAATTTAAATATAGTATTAAAAGGAAACACTATCAAAAATTTTCTTCCACTTATTCATAAAGTAAATTTTGAGGACCTACTGTGTATTTAGTGCTGAGACACTATAGGAGCCAGCCTGAGCTAGTCTGTCTCTACCCTTGTGGAGCTGGCAGTCTGGAAGGAGGGTGATGCTAGACAACAGCTATATCAGAAACTAATTGCATGTCTGTAAAATCAGACAAGGAAGAGGAGCTCACGCTGATTTAAGAACATGTTTCAAAGTGATATATGTGGCTTTCTGCTCTGGGGCAGTGGTTCTCCGTGGGAATGATTAAGCACATGGACTAGGGAAGTCTTGTCCATGGTTGGAGACTTTTTGCTAGTCCCTGCGTGGTGTGGCAGGGCTACTGCTGGCATCCAGAGCCAGGGACGCCACAGTGCTCAAGGCAGCTCTGCCATCTCCATCAAACAGTCGAGTGTCAGGTCCCAGATGACAAGAGTGTCACAGCTGGGAAACCTTGGAGTAAGGGTTTAGGAAGCCTTCCTGGAGGAAGTGTCATAGCTGAGACCTGAAGGGGAAGTAGAAACCATGTAAGCAGAGAGGAACAGAGATCCTGGCAGCAGAGGGACCACACTTATGATGTAGGAAGCAAGTGACGAAAGGACCAGGAGAGGCGGGCAGAGCCTGGGCAGTGCAGACCAGCTGATGGGTTTGGGCTGTGTTAAAGGGGTGTCATGGTGCATTCCACTTCCATATTGTGAAGCTCACTGTGTCTGTCCTGTGAACCCCACTGTGAGGGGTTCAGTGTGCACTGGGGACCGTGAGGGTGCTGGTGGACAGATGATTAAGAATCTCTCAGGCTGTGTGATTGATTTGGTACAGTGGGCTACCGGAAAGGGGGGGCCAAGGATGAGTCATGGATTTCAGTCGGGAGCTGATGGGTGGGTAGTGTGCTATTTGCTGCGTTCAGAATTAATGGAGGAGGATTAGATTTTTAAAAAATTGTGGCAGCTAAATATGCATAACATGAACTTTAACAAGTGTGATGAATCTTAGGTGTGCATTTCTGTGGTGTTAAGTACACAGGCGTTTTTCCATTTCAATTTTAAAGGGAGGTGAGGCTGGTAAATTTTGGACAAGTCGAATGTGGGTACATGTGACGTGTTTCACATTCCGTGTCAGTGAGCAGTAGCTATTCGTTTCTGGAGTTCAGAGGAGACTTCCATCTGTGGAGGCATTTGGGTGTTAGTGCGCTAGCTGGCAGTTTGAGTTGCTTGCTCGCTCTCTCGCCCTTTCTCACTCTCCCTCTCCCTCTGCTTCTCTCTTTTTGTTCTTTTAAAGGTGGAAGTCTTGATTGACAGAATACATTAATTGATGTTTTTGCTCCAACTGTATATGTACCAGGGATTTGGTACAAGTTGGGGAAGAAAAGAGTCTATCAGTATGATGTAAGGCTGTGGGTTTAGAGAGAGAAAAAATGAGCATAAGTTTCATTAGGTAAGATTTGCATATAGCTCATGTATGGAAGTGACTTATCTTCACTCCTAAAAGGATATGTTATGAAACATGGAAGGTGATGTATTTTAGTTTGCATCATCGCTTCCCGTAAAGTCAAGGCTTTTTATATATCATGTTGAATTTATCTTCTCTGGATCCTTGAGGATGGTTTATGGAGGAGCTTGTACTTTATTTGTGAGATGAACAAAGAAGGAAATAAATGCACAATGCCTATTGTGAAAATACGGTGGCCCCATTTGGGTTTTTCTGTCTAGCTTCCCAACCAAGTTTGTGCTATTTGTCACATGAGAAAAAGGCTCTGTAGGTTTCACTAGGCTGGGTACTGTTCTGAACCTGAATAAATATCGATTTATTCACTTCTTATTTCATATTCCTCTCTGCAGGGGCAAAGCAGGAGCAGAGAGGTTGTCACTGCCCTGAGGCTGCTCGACTCAGTGCCAGGCACTAGATTTAAGCCTAGGTGGTCTGAGTTGACTCTGTGGTTTGACCTTGTACTGTTCAAGGTGAGGAGTTCAGCCCTCCGTGTTGTGGCATCTTTCTGTTAGACTGTGCGGCAGTGAGGGCACAGCTTCTTGGAGGAAGGGGAAAACCTCCTGAAAAGTTCCTTAAACAGTTGTATTTTCAGCCAGGCATGGATGCACACCTGTAATCCCAGCTACTCTGAAGACTGAGGCAAAAGGATTACAAACTGAAGTCTAGCTGGGCAATTCATAAGACTGCATATCCAAATGAAAAATGAGAAGGTCTGAGGATGTAGCTCAGTAGTTGTGCACCTCTGGGTTCGTCCCCTAGTACTGCAAAAACAAAACACTCTAAAAGTAAACAGTTCCATAATTGCATTCTCTCCTGTTTACTTCAGCCTGGCCATTCCTATGTCTCCTTTGCAGTTCTGTACCTGAGATGTTGGGGTCCTCTCCCCTAATCCTTGCCCCACCTGCTCTCCCTGATTGGGCACATCCAGTCTGGTGGCTTCATTCCCCTTGTACTGCGGAGATGCCAGCCTCGGGGCCTCTTCCCTCACTCTGTGGGGCTCCATCTGCACTGGGACCTGCTGCTGTGGGAGGCTGCCCCTCGAATGTCCTCGGGATAGCAGGCCCAGACTCGGCTTTCCCGTGGACTTGCACACCGCCCTTGTTCTTCAGCCTGCAGATGGCACAGACCTGACGCCTGGCATCACTCGCACTCGTGTCTCTCATGGCTGCTCTGGGATCTTCGAGAAGCTGTAGCTTCTGCTTGCTCAGTTTCACAGCCCA